GCTAAATGGCTGTGGGACCAGATGAGACAGAAACTTCTGTCTACAAGGTGATAGATAGTTCATCAAAAAGTTTTGTCATTTAGGGGCTGGAGAGATGGTTCTTCCAGAGGTCCTGAGTTCAATTCCCAGCAACCACATGGTGGCTCACAGCCATCCATAATGAGATCTGGTGCCCTCTCCTGGTGTGCATATATAGATGGAAGCAGACTGTTGTATACATAATAAATAAATAAATTTTTAAAAAGTTTTGTCATTCAATCCAAGCTAACTAACAAATACCTTTCACTTCATTGTGTAAGAAAATCTCATTAAAAAGAAACACTTTTTCTCTTTCAAAAAAAAAAAAAACATTTTTTCTTAACAGAGATACAACCTGTAAGTCTCTGTGTGTTATTTGGGGCCCTAATGTGGCAGGCGGAACTCAGAAGGCTTGGCAGAAAGACTTATTGTTACAAGTGTGTTATGGATATTTCTCATTGTCTAGGGGAATTAGTTGCAAGTTTTTATTGCTCATGGTCAGGAAGAAAACCAATCAATGGAGCTTAGATTTAGGGATATCTTTCTGAAAAGAAAAAAATGGGGGATACAGAAATAATAGGATAAAAGAGTAGATTATTGAATCTACTTTTAGAGTAAAAAGCAACTAATAGTCTCAAATGTTTTTATATTGGTATAGATTTGTGTATAGTAGTACAAATGAAAGGTTATTTTTTGTTTCAACATACTGTAATATATCGTACCTATGAAACTCATTTAAAATTGTAATGTAAAGCTCTAGTCTTTGAAAGTTATTATTAAAAACTGTTTAGGATAATTAAGATACAATCAAACTTGTAGTAAGGATTTAGTTGTAGAGAGAAATAAACTGTATTTAGCCTCATATATTTTAAATAATTAGTTGGTCTTCAAGCACGTCAGAGATCTACAGAATATGCATTTCATGACAGTGAGCTAGATCTGCTCCTGGCAGCACCAATCTGCTTCCAAAGAGGATGATGGACATCAAAGAACCTCCTTATGAAGTTAGCTTTCAGTGTGGCAAAGCTAGCTACTAGGCAAGAAACTGCCCTTGCCTCGGACTGTTGACACTGTGCTCTCCAAATTGGACAACCAGGACACATAGGAAGTTGCTGAATTTTGCCAAGACAAGGTAGTCCAGTGGTTCAAAATTCCTGTTTCACAGAAAAGTCTGTTAGATATTCCAGGCCTGTAGACCAAAGATGGATGCTCCAATATTGCAGAGGAACCTTGTCCAGGAAGTCAGATGTCTCTGTCATTTCTATAATTTTGGAAGTTCTTTACTCTGCAATTTCTGTTTACTCAAGTAATATTTTATTGTTATCAGGTCTCTGATGGGGATTGAAGACTAGATAGTTATAACACTTTCTTTGTTACCAAACTTAGAAAAGAAACTTTACAAAAGAGATATAAAATTTATAAGATTGCGAGATATAAAAGCTTGATTAAGTTCTTTATCTAAGAAAAATTTTTAAGATCAAAAAGGCTATTTTTTAGGCTGGTACTACAAGTTACAATGGAAAGTGGTTTAGATATAAAACTTTGGACTCACCAAGATGAGATTTACAGCATTTTTTTGCAATTGGACAAATACAAATGGACTGGAAATTGTGAATTTAATTCTTCTAAGTATACACTGCTTATGGGAGATTTAGTATAGCCTTAGGGACACACAGATGAGAACAACAAAGGGAAAAAGACACCCCATGCAAATGTTAACTAAAAGAGAACAAATACATCTACTTTGAGTCAGACAAAGTAGGCTTTAAGTTAAAATCTAAACCAGAGACCAAAAAAGGCATTATATAATCATAAGATACTGATTTGCTATGAGATAACCATTGTAAGTATATAGACTCAACATCAGAATACATAAATATGTAAAGAAACATTAACATATGCAAATGGAAGTTTATAGAGGTAAAGGGGGAAAACCCATGTTAGGATAAGGTATTTAATTTTAATTGGGCGTGTTAATTAGGTGAGATAAAGGGGCTTTCCATTGCTGGATTTTAATACTTTGATAGCAGGACCTTGACAGTCACTGTATTTTCTACTCCTTCTTCCCCTTATGTCACTGTTTCTCATCTCTCTATCCAGAGGTCCCTCCAGGACAAATATCCCTTCCCCCTCTCCCTGGTTCCCTTCCCCTTCTCCCCCTTCCTCTGTCTCCTCTCTTTGTCCCTGATCATTGCTCTCTGTCCCACTGGGGCAAAATAAATCTCCTTTGTGCTGAGAACTTGGTCTGAGAACTTGACTCACTACTTTTTCTTTCACTGGCACCTCAGTTGAGGAATCGCCTCCACCAAGTTGGCCTGTAAGCAAGTCTACGGGGCATTTTCATGGGGGAGGATCCAACCCACCCTGGACAGGTGGTCCTGGATTGTATAAATAAACAACCTGAGAAAGCCAGGGGACCAGATCTGTAAGCATCCTTCCTCCCTGGTCTCCGCTTCAGTTCCTGCCTCTTCACCTGCTTGTTGGGTTCCTGCTCCAACAACTTCCCTCGGTAATAGACTGTGATGTGTCACTAAACCAAATGAATCATTTCCTTCCCAAGTGGCTCTTGGTCAATGTTTATCACAGAAACATAAGCAAACTAGACAACTAGTTTCATTTCTATGACTGCAATTAAATACCCTGAGAAAAAGCTACTTATGGGAGAAACTGTTTATTCTAGCACACAATTCCCAGTTGCAGTCAAGGGCACAGGAATTTCTGACAGTAGGTCACATCACATCCACAGTCAAGAACAGGGAGAAATGAATGCATGCATGGCTACTTTTCAATTCACTTTCTTCTCTCTTAAACAGTAAAGACCCACACCCAGAGAATGGGAGAACTCCAATGGATGGTCTTCTGACACCAATTATCATAAAGAAGGAGAAGCCCCATAGGCATGCCCACAGCCCAATCTGATCTAGATAACCCTACACTGAGACTCTTTTCAGGTAATGATAGGTTATATCAAGTTGACAATTGAACTAACCACACTGTGGTGTCTTACTGCAAATTTGAGTTTATAATTTATGAGTGTAAAACAATGGAATTATAATGGAGAACTTACAAGAGAGGGGCATGCATATCCTGCAAATCATTTTAGCCTTCATTGAATGTTTTCATTCCTCTGCCCAACCAACACCTCCCAAAAAGAGTATCTGCTAATTTTCTGAAATACAGATATTAATGTAATAGCTAGAACATATTCTACAGGTATGTTTACCCTTTGAGAGCCCAAGTACAAGCTAAGTGTGATGACATCATTCTATAATCCTGGCATAGTAGAAGCTGACACAGGAAAATTGCTACAAGTTAGAAGACAGTCTAGGTTACATAATAAGACTCCTGTCTCAATATGCCTCCCAGAACTAAGACAGCAGAATTGTGCCATTATGCCAAGCCTTGAAGTATACCATTCTTATGTCCTTTGCTGTTTTCACATGAGCTCTATAGTCAGAAGCCATATGGAAATGGTCTGAGTGGCATGATCCTAGATGACTGAATTGCACCAAATGCTACCAAATGTCAATTCTTTCTCCTAAGAATACCTCCTTATGCGCCTCTTGACTTTCTGTCCATTGGTATCTGGCTTTTGAGTCTATGCCCACTGGGGTCTGGCTTCACCTTCCATTTACTCCTTTAACATTGTCTGTTAAGGTCTCCCTTCCTCCTCACATGCCCTGAATGCCCAGGCTGGAAGCAGAGTTGAATGCGGTGCGGACGGTAAATAGTGTGTTTGAACAGTGTACTTGTCAACAAAAGGAACACACCAGCTTAGCCACCATGGAGAGAGAACCTGAGACACCTAAGGTCAGCAGACACAACCCAGACATCCTCAACTGGAACTCAGTTATCTCTAGCTTCCTCTGAGTTTAAGCCCCAGACACAGGGTTCTGTCCCTCTCTTCCCTCTACAAACACAATGACAGAGAACAGTATTTCCTATTGACTTAGTCTAGAAGACCTTGATATTCTTATCTGTCTTCTCACTGATGTGTCTCAAAAAATAGTTAAGACATAGTAGGCAATCAGTATATAATTAATAATTTTATACAAAATTACTAAGTCACTAATATTGTATGGATTTGAAAAACCTCACCATTAACTTTTAAAGATCAATTTTAAAATAAATTACTCAGTTGGTGCTGTAGTTCTGTGATTGCCTAGCATCCTCGGGGCCTGGAGTTCCCTCTGTTCTCAGTATAAAAAGTAAAGAAATTCTTAATCGTATTAGGAGGGCAAGCTGTCATTAGAAAACTAAGAATGAACATGGAAAACTAAGCCACTATGGTTACCAAAACTCCAGGTAGACTGCCTTGCCTCAGACCTCCTACATTTTTTAGATGACTCCCCTTCTGGACTCTATCCCCAATCCCCTCTCCCCTCCTCATTGTTGTATCCCAGCCCCCTAACTTGGGTAGAGACCCCTTGCTCACCCACAGGGCACACAAGTCAGAAGACTAGAGAAGAAACAAAAATCAAGGAACAACACCACCCACCCAACAAACAAAAAAGCCCAGAAATTAGCACCTAGACCTTCAATCACTGGAAACCCAAATGCCTAGATGCCAGCCTAACAACACAGTCATCAATAGCTAAGACAATATGTCACCACAAGAGAACAGCTTTCCTCTGAAAGCAAGTCCTGAATATTCCAACACAGCTGTAACACAGCTTCTTCAATGGAATCAAATTAAAGACCCAGACATAAATCCACACATCTATGGACACCTGAATTTTGATAAAGAAGCCAGAAGGACACAATAGGAAAAAGAAAGCATCTTCAATAAATGGTGCTATATGTTATGGATGGTTCTTCCCGCCAACCTGGTCCCACGGCCATGCCAGCCCCAAATAAACACACGGACACTGTACTAGTTATGAAACTGTTAGCCAATAGCTTGGGCTTCTTATTGTCTAGCTCTGTCTTAATTATTAATACATTTCTATCAATCTACATATTGCCATGAGGCTGTGACTTACCCAGTAAAGCCCAGCATGGTGTTACTCCTCTGGCAGCATCACGACTCTGGCAGGCTCCCTGTCCTACCTCTCCCAGAATTCTCTTCATCTCCTAGTCCTGCCTATCTTCCTGCCTTATTGGCCAACTGTGTTTTATTCATCAACCAATAAGAGAAACATATACACAAGTGATGGGGGAAGTACTTCTGGGTATGTTTATCTTATTGATTGTTAAATAAAGTTCTGTTGGGCCAATGAAACAGCAAGTTAGACAGGACTAGGAGTCAAAGAGGATTCTGGGAAATGTAGTAGAGAAGTGGTGATCCAGGCCAGAAGTGACACAGCAAGGAGACTCATATTTAGCAAGGAGAAACAGTATGTGGCCCCTTTTCCCCTTCCTCCTCCAGCAGCGCCATGTGAGCCACTGGCAAGAGAGGGGGCCAGCAAAAGGCATCCTCTGTAAGATAAGTCTTTTAAAATATATAGGTTTATGATAATTAAGACTGAGCTAACAGATGAGAATCCTAGTCATTGGCCAAGCAGCATTTGTACCTAATACAAATCTTTCTGTGTATTAATTTGGGCCCTAACTCTGGCGGGCGACACACGTGGCGGTGGGGCTCAGCGGCTTTTGGCAGAAAGATTTATCGTAACACACAAGGACCTCCCCCCATCATCCTAACTGAATATCTACATGTAGAATAATGAAAATAGATCCATACTTATCACCCTGCAGTGAACCAAAGACCTCAACATAAAACCAGATATGCTGAACATGATGGAAGAGAAAATGGAGAATAGATCTGAACTCATTAATACAAGAAACAGCTTCCTGAAAAGAAAACAGATAGTGCAAGCATTAAGATCAGCAATAAGTAAATGGGACCTCATAAAACTAAAAATCCTCTGTAAGGCAAAGGACACAGTCAATAGGACAAAACAGCAGCCTGTAGAATGGGAAAAGACCTTCACCAACTTCACATCCAACAGAAGGCTAATTTCCAAAATATATAAAGAACTCAAGAAACTAGGCATCAACAAACTAAACAATCCAATTTTTTTAAATAAGGTACAGATATAAACAGAGAATTCTCAACAGAGGAAACCAAAATGGCTGAGAAACACTTGGAAAAATGTTCAATATCCTTATCCATGCAAATCGAAACTACTTTGAGATCCCATTTTATACTGGTCAGAGTGGCTAAGACCTGACAGCTCATGCTGGAGAGCATGTGGAGCAAGAGGAACTCTCCTCCATTGCTGGTGGGGGTAGAAACCTAGAAATCAATATGGCAGTTCCTCAGAAAATTGGGACTCAATCTACCTCAAGACCCAGTATACCACTCTTGGGCATATACCCAAAGGATGCTTCATCGTACCACAAGGACACTCGACTATGTTCATAGAGGCTTTATCCATAATAGCCAGAAACTGGAAATGACCTAGATGTCCCTCAGCTGAAGAATGGATAAAGAAAACATAGTACATATATACAATGGAGTATTACTAAGCAGTTAAAAAAAAATGACATTGTGACATTTGCAGGCAAATGCATGGGAGTAGAAAAATATCATCCTAAGTGAGGAAACCCAGATCCAGAAAGGCAATCTTGGTACGAACTCACTTATAAGTATATATTAACTGTTAAGTAAAGGATAATCATTCGACAATCCACAGACCCAGAGAGGCTAAGTAACAAGTTGAGGTCAAAGGGGACACATGTATCTCCTGGGAAGAATAGATTTTGTGGATGAACTGGGGGCAGGTAAGGATGGGAATAGGAGGGTTCAGGTGGAGGTGATGGAGGGAGAAAGTACAGGGAGAGATGACTGGAATTGGAGGATATTTGGGGCGCAATGCAGAAACCTAGTGCACAGGAAACTCCCTGGAATCTACAAGGTGACCCTAGTGAAGATTCCCAGTAATGGGTAATATAGCGCCTTAACCATTCATCTTCTGTAACCAGGCAAGTCTTCCAGTGATGGGACGGGCACACCAATTCAGCCACAAAACCTTTGACCTACATACAATCTTTCCTAACTGCAAGATGTGCTGGGGCAGCAGTGGTGCAGAACTTGTGGGCGTGGCCAACCGATGACCGGTCTAATTTGAGTCTAAGCCACAAGGGGGAGCCCATGCCTGTCACTGCCTGAATGAGCAGGATCCAGAGGCTGGATAGAACCAAAGAGGACTAGTGTGTGTGTGTGTGTGTGTGTGTGTGTGTGTGTGTGTGTGTGTGTGTGTATGTGTGTGTGTGTGTGTGTAATATTACACATGTAATATATATCAACCAGGTTATATATAATCTAGCAATATAACACACACACACACACACACACACACACATATATATATCAATGAAATGATCCCTAATGATGCTCTGCTCTACTCAGACAGACTGTCTCCAGCAGCTGAAGGGAGCATATGCAGATACCCACAGCCAAAAATTAGGTCTCCATCACATCCCTCTCCTTGGAGCTCCAGGGAACCCCATGGAAATTGGGAGGAGGAATTGTGGGAACAAGAGGGATTGAGGACACCTGGAGAACACAGCCCACAGAGTCAACTAAGCAGGGCTCCTGGGACTCAGAGAGACTGAAGCAGCAAGGCAATCCCAGAGCCTGCACGGGTCTGTGCTAGCTCCTTTGCATCTATATTATGGCTATTGGCTTGCTGTTTGGGGGACTCCTGACAGTGGGAGTGGGGCTGTCTCTGATTCTTTTGACTGCTTTTAGGTCCCTTTTCTTCATACTGTATTGCCTCACCCAGCTTTGATGAGAGGGTTTGTGCCTGGTACATGTTGAGTTGATGTCAGGGTTTGGGGTGCTCTTTAATGGGGGGAGACTGGGAGGGGACCTTGGGAAAGAGAAGGGGGAAACTGGGAATCATGGAGGTAGAGGAAGCTGAGGTCATATGTATTGTATGAGAGAAGAATAAATTTTAAAAAATAATTCAAAAAGAAAAAAAAAACTAAAGATTCTACTCTGCCTCCAATATGTAAGAATTTAGAAGACTCACACAAGGAGGCATATCTCCACTGAGAGAGATTAGTTCTTAAGACTCTCCTAACTCATAATTATGGAAAGTAGAGTAGAGTGGGGAGTCATTAAGAGAGGGCACTCATTAGGATGACTGCTTAGAGATGGAATGCAAAACAATCAAACAGGTTAGTCCTGCTTCTACACCCACTACAAAACATAAACATCCACCCATCAAATACACACACAGTCACACACAGAGACACACACACTCACACATATACTCAGAGGTACACACACATACTCGCATACACACACACTCAAAAAGAGATACAGAGAGAGAAAGAGAGACATATACACATTCAGAGACACACACACACACACACACACACACACACAGAGAGAGAGAGAGACACACACAGAGACACACACACAGAGACACATACTCACTCACAGTGAGTCAAAACAAACAGCCTACACGGGGGAAATGATTTCACAAAAACAATAAATAGAAAAAGAAAAAATGGGAAGGTACACAGAAAGCATCAATATTAAAAGGAGAGTGGGCCAGTCATTATAACTGTCTTTGAAAATTCAAGCAAAACCAACTTTTTCAAAGCAACCAATTCAAGCAGAACCAAATTCAAGCAAAATTCAAGCAAAAAAAAATTAATGAATAAGTACATCAGTTAAAGGATTACTGAAGAAGGGTTTAAAATGAGTACCATGTAAATATCTGCTCTTTAAACAGCAGTAACCAACAGAAAATGGAGATTTTTTTAAAGCCTTTTTACAAAAATTCAGTGCCAGTTATTTAAAAGAAAATCAGAACAGTACTGATGGAGTTAATGGAACCACAGCAGGGAGCAATAATTCATATTTACAGTTGGGATTGTTATTCTAAATTGTCCATTCTCTCTAGATTTTTCTATCAAGTCATGAATCCTAACAAAACTTTTTCAGAGATTTACATATTTTAAAATGAATCCACCTCTTCTCCGAATCCCAACCATCCTGATAAAAGGAAGAAATGCGCTGGAAAGGGAAAAGAGAAAGCAGGGGTGTCCACAATGGATTCGTAAACGCACATTAACTGAGGACATGCTGGTGATGCAAGTGTTCTTAGGCATATGATTATACAAGGAACTTTTCGGGGCCAACGGCCGGCCTAACTGAAGTAGGAAAATGCTAAAATGGCCTCTTATGCTTCAAATGAGGCACAAGAACCACTGCAGCCCACAAGGCTCAGAAGCAGCCAGGGCTCAGTGGAACCTAGAAGAAGTAAGATGCTGTGTGGAGCTCCTCTGAAGTTGTGGAATGTTTCAGGAAGTAGGAAGCAGAAACAGCAAATTCTCAGGGAGTCTGGAGTAAATGGGAACTGGTCCTTCAAGTGTCACCCAGGACAGCCCATCCACCAAAAAAATCTACAGAAAATTCTTCTAAAGGGAGAAGATTGACTAGTCCAAGGAAATAGAACAGAGAAGGGCAGGAGCCCACACAGATACAGTGCTCTAAGGTAGATTCATAAGTGAGCAAGTCATTGTTGTTTATGAGATAGATAGTAATGAAAAATAATCAACTCTTTGTATGAACAGCATTTATTATCTGTATCAACCCTGTGAAAGGGAAGAACATTTGATTAGACATCAGAAGATCTTAGATTCTCTTCCTAGATTCATTATTGGCCAGTCTTGAAATTCAAATTACTTAGCAGCTGATTTTTAAATATGAAAATTGAAGAGGAGGGAGGTGTCTGGGTGAAGGCTTGACTAATGATCGATCTCCTTCAAGGCCCGGCCTTATACTCAACTTTACAAACCCAAGCAAAACAACTGCTTGGGCTCACTCTCCCAGCGCTGGAAGATCAGGACTCATAAAAACTGGAATGCATTTCACTTGGCTGCGGTTCCCTTTTTATCCCTCAGCCTGAGTTTCATTACCGAAGAAATCCACACGGTGGCAATAACACTGAATAAAAATAATAAATTCTCAGAAACTGTGTTCTTCAGAAGCTAATGTTTACAGCTCTCCCTTCCCTGTTTTTATGAAGTCACCAGGCTGTTGGCGCCAGTAGAACAAAGGCCACACACAAAGCTTGAGAGTGGGA